CGGGCCCGCGGATCTCCGGCTCCACTCCGCACAGAGTCGGCGTTTACCGCCGGCCGCGCGCGCGCGCGCCCCCGCCGCGGAACTACTTTCCGTTGCCGAGCGCCCCGCCCCCTGGGCCCACTCCACTTTCCTTTCTGGCGGAGGGGCACGGCTCGACGACGCGTGAAACGTCTCTATGTGAGCCGCGCCGCTATTGGGTAGAGGCCATGGCGGAAATGAGAGAGCGGCGCCGATTGGTCCGGCCTTCCCTGCAATGCGTCAAACTGGGGCGAGCCACTGCGTGGTGGTGGGGCGCAAGCCCGAGGTGTGCGGCAGTGTGGAGCTGTGGGGCGTTCGGAGGCGAAGGGGGAAGCTGTGTGGCTCTCAGAGAAGTGAAACCATGGTCTTCGTGGACGAGAGTGGTAAAAGGCCTGGCGGAAGCTGTAGGAGGACTTTCTCAGCTCTCCCCTCTGACGGAAGATGGTGCAACCCAAAATGCTGGGGCCTGGAAGCCCCGCCCCCAGCTGGGCCCTACGAGGTGGCGGGGTCTTCAAGATTTCGCTTGACTCCTACAGGTACCACTCCCCAGGGCAGGTGTCTGCGTCTGGAGACGCACTCCATCTCTGTGTCCGACCTCCGTCTCCATTAACTGCCGACCGGCTCAGGGTGTTTGCAATCTCTGAGAACAGGGCATTCATTCATTCGTTCAGTTATTCAACTAGCGTGATATGGTCTGTGCCTAGACCACAAGCCCAACCATCCTCCTGGCCTCTCCCAGACCACCTGACTCTTGCAGCCTTGTTCCAAGGTGCCAACCATAAGGGGAAAGAATTAACGCAAAGGTTAGGTGAGGCTTACTCAGGCTCAGAATAGCCCCCTCCTCGATTAGAATAGGAGGTGCCATTTGTTTAAGTGTTCCTCCCACCTTGCAGTGATTGGCCAAGGAATGGGCAACTGAGTCAGGAGAGGCCAGTCATCATGCCCCAGCTGGAACAGACTATAGCCTGAGCCAATGAGAGTGCTTCCCTGAAATTTTTTTTCTTTTTTTTTTCCCTCCGGAGCTTGGGTGGGCAGAGCTGTGCAGGAAGGGGTCCAGAGTTATGCTGGCCATTTCCCCACCCCAGTCCACTCTAGGGGATGTAGTGTCTAGAGAAAATGAAACTGGCTAAGGGGAGAAATGAAGTGAGACCTGTTGACATTCAGTTTCTTGAGACCCTCATGCCAGGTTTTGATTACATGAGCCCTCCAAGTTCCCCTTTTAGCTCATGCTAGTTTCTGTTGAATTTCACTTGCAACCATTGAATTCCTAATGGGTATCAGTCTTGATCATCAGCACAAATCTTGAAACAGACATCGAGGAACCAGTCCACCAATGCTGAATAGGCAAATTGGTGGTCGGCTTTTGTATCTCCTCATTCTCTTTTGTTGGCTCTCCGTTTCCATCAGACAGATTTTCATTTCTGGTTTACTTAGGACTATGAAGTACTAAATCTATTGCTAACGCTTTTGAGCACTTACTCTACCCACGGCACTGTTCCAAGCACTTTGTGTGCATGACCTCATTTAACTCTGACATCCTCCCTGTTTTTTACTTCCAATATTCCACCTGATGAGTTTTTTTTTTTTTTTTTTTTTTTGCCACTGGAATTAGATGAGACTAGAGAGGGAGGAAGGGTTGATTAAGGTCAGAGACATGTAGGAGCTTTCCTAAGGTCATATAGGAGAAGACAGTCAAGATTTGAACCAAAGCAATTGGACTAAACCTCCCACATTCTCACACACCATACTGCCAGTG